CAATGCAGTTAGGTAACTGCATACATGTACCTCTGCAGCGCAGGCATGCTGTGTTAGCAAATAGTACAGCACTTGTGCCTTGAATGCTAACATCTGCACTGTGTTTAGTTTAGCAAATAAAAGGATAAAACTTAAAAGCCTTGATGGCAAATATTTGCCATATTCATTCGTGCTAGTCAGGCATACTTTTCTCATAAGAAGACTGATATTTCCTTCTGCAGTAATTTACAGTTGAAGGTATGGCTCTCTTCTGGGACCTCCCTACACTTTCATGTGGAGCATGAAAACATCAGCAACACTGGCTGCGGACTTTACACTGATTAAATCGAAAACTCAGTGAAAAGAGGAAGCGGGGGTGGAGGAGGGCTGCACAATGGCTTGCAGAGGTAGCAACAACTGTAAGAAGGCTAACACGAGTGAAGTATGAGATTTGGGAGCAGGATGCACAAAACTGGATCGGCTGAGGCATTAGCTAGGCTGAGCTGATACACTGGGACCGTGGGCGAAGCTTGACCTGCCTGAACTAAGCTCAGTTTAAGGTTACAGTGATAAAGATCAGCTTGGCTCATTAGTCTCAGTGTTGTAGTCTATTTTCAGTGATGTTGCAGGGCAGATTTTATGTTAGTCGTTTCATCTTTTTGTTGGTTAAAGTGATTTCTTTGTATCTAAAATGTACCAAATCAAGCAACCAGTGCCTTCTCCATCCTGATGCTGCACTTAAGTTCAGCATCTAAGTTATAAAGCATGTTGCTACTGTATCACCAAGACATTCCTAAAGGTTTGTAGTACTTTTCCTTGCAAAAGAGTAGCAGTTTTGTCTTTGTGTATATCCTATTGTAACTCTAATGGCAGGGACAGTGTGTTTGTACCTGTTTAAAATTTCCTCCAGCACCTAAAGGTCACAGATTATGTAATGTGCAGGCTGAAGAGTAACAAACCTCAGCTTTTATTTTGCTTCCCCAAGTAAACCAAAGGTTAGTTCCTCTTTGGAAAGTAATAAACCTTGTTTGCGTCAAAGCACATTAGATGGAATGTAAAGAAAAAAACGTCTTCTAAGAGGGCAGAAAACAAATGTTTTAAATAATACCTTTCTTCTAAAGACACGTATTTATAGTGTGCTGTTTAAGATAAAAACAAACTACCGACAAATAATGAAGCTGAAAAGCTGCTTCATGAGCCAACTAAAATTTTTAGAACGAAATTACTCTTAACAGTGGAAGCAAATGAGGACAGTTTCCATAGCAACCTCATAGCAATATAACAGTGACCTCAAAGGGGTTGATGGTGATAAAAGCACAGATAATTCTGTGTGATTTTTAATTTAAATTGGATTGATCTCTTCACCTTATACCATATGTTGCAGTCTCATACACTCACCAAAATGAATTATGCATGCACACGTATTCTGTGCTCTGCACTGTGGATTCAACTACTGAAATACAGCTTCACTCTCTGTTACACACACCTACTGCCAAAAACGTCTCTCTCTCTCTCTCTCTCTCACACACACACACACACTCACACACACTCACACACAGCGGATTGGAGAAAAATGCCTCAGAGGGAAACCTTGAACGCTGCTGTGCATGAAAAGACTTTGCAACTCCCCAACAATGCAGCACCAAAAATATTCTTAAAGCTAACACACATATTAACATCCTAATTAAAAAGCAAATATATAAATTCCAAGTCAAACTTGTGGAACAATTTACCCAAACTCTAAAGCCAAGCTGTTTATGACCCCTACTTTTATGCTGTTTACAGAAGAACAAACCAAAATGGAAATTTTTAAGCGTGGGAGTCTATTTAATGTTTCATTATCACTCTTTTCAAACATCTTCATGGCCTTTGGTCAAGTGTGGTTTGAGTGGAAATTTCCACCTAGAGACTGGCTGCCTACCAGTAAACTGGGGCCCACTACCTTGACAACATGAACAGCGCCTCCACTGAAGAAGTCAAGACGGACCTCTGCTGTTCAGTACAGGATACTGCAACTACCCTCTCATAATTATACTACTACTACTACTAATTTGTTTTTTTGTACTCTGAAAAATGTCGATGGCCCTCATGTATTAAAAAAATTACCAGAACTTATAAAACACATTCGATTCAGTTTTTATAACAAAATTATTTTACAGTGATCAGATAATCTATGTGATACTCTTTTACAGTTTCATACAGAGTAATTGTCCAAGTAACACCTGAAAAAAAAATTCTTGTCTACAGATTTTCTAATAGTGTTCCCTTCCTTATCCCAGTTTTAATGTTAGCACCAAAAACATTATACCTTGTATACGTTAAAGAAATAATGTTTCTGATCATCGATTTGGTGCTAAATTACGAGTCTCTTAGTTTGGCCTGGTGTACATGGATCTAAGTAATACACAGATTCAACTCTATCTCCCTTTTTTAATGTGTTGTAAATAATTACCTCATTTTTCATGTGTAACTGAGTCAGAGCAGGAGCTATTTGTAATGTTCAATGCGTCTGGAGAACACAGAGATTTCAAAATCAAAGTATTCCTGGAGAAAGATGCGAAATTCTGTGATATGCAACCAACTGATAGCTAGGAATAGTGCTTGTTATCTCAAGTGTTGCTATTTAAAGTATATAAATTATCTCTCACTTTTTATCTCTGTCAAACTTTTTTTTAATTAAACCTTTGTGTTCAGATGACGTGTTATTTCTTATATCTTGCTTGGCTGTAGGTGCTTATTTTGTCAGCACTATGATGCTACATTTTCACCTGCAGAAATGTATAACACGGAAAAATCACTGACAAGATGTAACCCAGTAAAGAATTGTTGTGTTATTTGAGAATGACGAGTACTTTCTCCATTTGGTTCTCCAAGGACTAACTGTCAAGGAAAGTTTTTAGAAATGTACAGTCAAAGAAATCTCAACAGTCACATGACCCCCTATGAGCAAGCACTCTGTGACATTGGGAAGGAAAACTCCCCTTTAACAGGAAGAAACCACCAGCAGAACCAGGCTCGGGGAGGAGCAGCCATCTGCCGTGACCGACGTAATTGCTTCATAATGTAACATATTTGGACTTTGAGTCTGGGAGCCAAACTCTACTGTATTCTGCTGCTGTAATAAAGTATTTCAAGCGTGATTTCTCTGACTAAATAATAACCTACTTAAGTTGATAATTTGGTCCTGATCTGCACTCTGGTGGAAACACTGGTTAATTTTGTACACACTCAAAAGTTGTCCTAGGTTCTTGTATACATGCATCATAAACATGCATAAATGTGGTTCACATCACACATGCACAATGATTGACAGCGTGGTTTACTATTTCAAATCATCTGTTTTTAATAATAAAAGATTTAACCTGTGAATAAAATCATTTCAGTCATGAGCAGTGTTGGTCAAGTTACTTGAAAAAAGTAATCAGTAACTAATTACTGATTACTTCCCCAAAAAAGTAATCCCGTTACTTTACTGGTTACTTATTTTCAAAAGTAATTAATTACTTAGTTACTTAGTTACTTTTTAAAAACACGATTTACAACCTGAATAGGTGATAAAGCGATAGCTCTTTCAGCCCAATTCTACTTTTTCTACATAATCCATCAATATGTAAACAAAAGAAAATGTAATCAAATGGAAAAGTCTCTTTTTAAAACTTGTTTTATTGGTTTTAATCTTTTAACTTTATGCATCAAGCAAAAATGTAATTATATGCAACATTCTCTGACTGGAAGAAATTAGTTTAATATTTAAACCTATTTTCTGCACATTCCAGCACATAATTTTTTTTTGTGTGTGTTTACACTCACTCTTTCAAATAGATGCAAGTAAAACACAGCAGAAAATAAATAAAATCAAAGACTAGCGGTCCTGTTGCTCTATTTTCACCTGTAAAGCGGAGTTGGGTAGGCGGAGGCTTACCCTGGTGCAGGTGTGCCGCGGCGGTCAGTGGAAGAATCCGCGAGTTTCTCTGTGAGTTTCCCATTTTTAGGGGTTTTTTCACTGTAAAAAGAAGTTTTCTTCCCACAACAACGCTAATGTTTTTGTCACTTTTTATGGAATCAAACTCAAAGTAAGGTCAGTACTTCCACGCTTTAAACGCTGCACGCTCATACTCTCTCTGCACTCAATATATGATCCATTGTTGATCTGCACACAGCTGTTGTCACGAATGTCGCACTCGCTTACGTCACTGTCATGAGACATTCTCGCAAAAAATCACGGTTTTAGTAACGCAGTAACGCAGCGTTCCTACGGGAAAGTAACGGTAATCTAATTACCGTTTTTGCAATAGTAATCCCTTACTTTACTCGTTACTTGAAAAAAGTAATCGGATTACAATAACGCGTTACTGCCCATCTCTGGTCATGAGTGTGTCTTATTGTGCTTTGACTGCTGACAATCTTAAGATTTTTTTGTATCATATAGTCCTGCATTGCCAGGAGTTGGCCAGCAGATGACCCTATTTCAACACTACCACCCACGCTCCTCACTCCCAGCCACCCACACACGATTTTTTTTAAAATGTAATTGTTTTAATTGTTCGCTTGTGCTTATTCAAAATAGCCCGATGCTTCACAGAGCTGGGAAAACACGAACTTCAAAGGTTTTAACGACAAAACAGTTTATGAGTGTAATGATTATAAAATGCTTGTTTTCATCTGATCATTGAACTTGGCCTCATTTAACCTGGTCTACAATAACAAAGATTTAGCATTATTCTGTCACAATAAGACAATTTCTCTTTAAAATTAACACATAGGCACAAACCATCGTGTAACACCTCATTTACACAGCATTTCTGTAAAAACCTGCAAATGTCTATTTGCTTCTTAAAGATGGATCCATCTATTTAATGGTGGATTAATAAATTAAAGACAGACGCAGATAAATGGACCTTTCGACATTAGGGATTAAATACCATCATTAATTAACAATAATAAATCATTAAATCAGCTCTCTCGCCCCTTAGCCTCTCTCTTGCTGTCTCATTTGTATCCACCCACTTGAACCGGAACCTTTTCTCGGGATTTACACCCTCCCCGTCGCTGTATCGCGCTGACAGCCAGCCTCAACACCGATCCACACATCACCGTGCGCCCGTCGTCGCTCACATCATCAGCGGTGCTGCACGGGATACTCCGGGTTGTACTATTCCTGTGGTAGCGGTGGTAGGTCGGCCCGTTATTTACTCTGGCTTCTAGAGAAGTGTCATCTTTATCTCCCGTGACAGCCTCACCGTGGACACCAAAGACTGACAGCATCTGTGGGCGCTACGATGGATGCTTCAAGTGCGCTCTCGTGATCTACGCTCACCGGCTCGGTGGGGTCGTTTCAGCTTCCGTTTCAAACGGAAAGGATAGATTATATGCACAGCTCCTGCCTGTACGCGCAGTGAACGGGTAAAGATGGGGAGCACGACCTCTTGCTGCGTGTCTGGGAGCCCCAAGCTCCGCAGAAATGCCCACTCGAGGCTGGAGTCGTACCACCAGGAGTCGGATATGAGTAGGGAGGAGACGGGATGCAACCTGCAGCACATCAGCGACAGGGAGAACGTTGACGGTAAAAACAAAACAAACAAACAAAAAACCCTTTAAGGTGCCAACATTGCATGACGATAAAAGATAAAAGTTTATGGCTGGTATAAATTTTTGGAATTAAACAAACAGCCTAATTGAAGCTAATTACACGTATGTATAAATGAAATGCAGCTAATAATAACATGGAGTGAAACATTCAAATGTACCAGTTAGGTGCAGTAAACTAATGAAAATAAGTTATAATGAAAATGTTTTATTATTCCTGTGGGAAAGTTTTGAGCCTTTTCTATTCTGGTGACTCTGCTTAGTCTAAAGGCAAAAAGGACCCTCAAAACAACATAATAAAAAACACGTCACACCCATTTTCAAATCTTGAAAAATGAATCTGTAGCTTTCACATATCCACCTCTGCTCGCACTACTCATGTGTCAAAAAATACTGAGTTGACTGCAGAGACATGTCAACCTTCAGTACAGCCGGGCACATGCATGGATCTGTGTGCATTCTCATTCTCATGTGGCACTGCAGAGAGATATGGAGCTGCAGAGAACATCCTGTCCGTGAGGGCAGGCGTCTTTGTGCCGGTCTTTGTTTTGCAAGCATGGTACGCAGCCCCCTCCACTGACACATGCTAATATGCATTACAATTGACCCATTCACGCTGGAAAGTGGCTACTAAATGGGCTGCCTATTTCCATCCAACAGCAAACCATTTCATATAAATGGTTTTTCTCAAAAACTGTACAAAATCACCCCCCCCCTGTACAAACTATGTCCCTGGCAAGATTATTTGAAACTGTTTAATTAATCATTGTTTTATTGAAACTGTTAGACACTGTATTACAAGACAGTGTCTGTCAGATGAGTTGTAACCTTTTCACTCTGGCTTAGGAAGATTCTCATAACATCAACCACTATAGATTCAAATATGGAGTCTAACAAAGCATAGCCACACAGGGACAAGGGCTGCTAACTTATCTGGTGCACAAATTAAGCTGTATTTAATCCTGTATCTGCTCTGTAGTTTTCACCTGATTTGCTTTGGGTCACGTAAAGAGGTCGAATTTCCATGTTTACAGATGCATTTGACCTATTTTTTCCCCCTTTAGTCACTTTTAATTTATTTGACCTGCTCATCAAAGAGTTCTGAATCCTCTTCCACATTAACTGCATTCATGTTATACAGGATACAGCCTCATTATCTGTGCTTTTTAAAGAAGTCCCACATTCATAGTAGGTGCTCATTCTTAGTCATACATTTTGTCACTACTTGCTGGACAGCCCTGACACATCTGATAGCATCATCTTTCCTCTTTGCCATGTTTACAGTTCTGTGCTGATAAAGGATCTTCGCCCAGGAACACTTCGTACGGGTTATCATGTGAGGCGGGAAAAGAGGAAATTATTCTCACCTGCCGATCTAATCTTGTTTTAGATGTGTTGATTTCTTTTGCCAAATCTTTGCATAACTGCAAAGCTCAAGAAGAGCAGAAAACAACCCGAAAGAAGAAACATCTCAGCAGCACATTAGAAGAACCGTGTCTGTTGTCTTAAATCTAAAATCTGAGTGCACGTGAATTAAAAACATTTGGAGCCATATTCCCTTACATATTTTGCTATAGGAAGCCTATTGACCTTCATTATTCACACTGAGTCAGCATGGTGAGAGACCTGCCTTTTATTGATCAGCGATGTCACTTCCTCTTGTAAAGATTCAACTTATGTTCTGCATGGTATTTGTGGAGACTACTGACTTGAGTGCTTTGCATTACAGCAGGGTAATGTTGATAATATATCTTCAGTATCTGTGACAAGGCGGCTTTAAGATCACTGAAAACATTGCATGGAGAAGTGGAAATCTCCCCCCCAATATGTTTTGGACCATTGCTTTAATCGGATGCATAATTGTCTGAGCGTGGAGGCAGATGCTCTTTCTAACAGAGAAAGAAAAGAGCCATGATGAAGATTCAGAGTCGACTGTCATTTCTGGTGAGGATAAAGATTACTCGCGGTGAGAGGCCGTCTGTCTCAGCGGTGCGGTGATTGAAACCGGAGCGTGTCTAATGTGTTCGGACTGTTATGAATTCACAGACAGATTAGTGGGCTTCATTAGAATCTGCAACATCAGAAAAAAAGAAAGAAGTCTTCGTCCCTTCCCAAAAAAGAGGCAGCTGTGAGCCTGTGTCAGAGCAGATACAAGAAGCCTCAAGGGACAGTTGATTGCCAAGAATTAACGCCTCAATTTAGAGCACGACATGCTGCTTTCAAATCATCGCGTGCCTCTTTAGTGAATGGGCTGACTTTGCAGTATTAAATGGGAGTACATGTAGGGAGGTCAGGGTCAGTTATCGTTTTAATTTTTAATTAAAACAGAAAAATTGTTATCACCATTTTCCCAGAGCTCATCGTAACATCGTAAGATCGCGTTGTCTTTGTCAAAGCAGCAGATTTTCTTTGGTGTTTAATTTAATGTTGGATCTGACGGATCATTTGGCCATGAACTAACTACTATCCCTTGATTCTTGATACATCTGAATGAAGCTCGAAATGCTCTGATGTTGTTGGAGAAATGTGCTTTTTTTTCCAGTTGTTGTTTCTCTCAGCTGACTTACAAACAACCAGCAATGCTGTCATCCATGCTTGTGGCTGTTTTCCTATGACTTTAGCAGGCTGATAGAATGTCTCAATTTTTAAAGCCCTTGACCGATTATTCTTCCTACTGAGCAAAAAGTTAGTTGTGCTTGAATTCAAAGTTCACAGAAATGAGAAAATGTTGTTTTGGTGCACAGAGGTTATCTGAGGATGTGCAGTGGTTTTCATCAGAGGCTTTCAAGCTGCTTAGAAGGGAATTAGAAGTTTTGTTTATGCAAACTGTTAGAGATAGATAAGAAAAGATCACCATGTTCCCCTGCATAGTAATCTTATCAGAGAAGATTTTTAGTAACAGTAAATAAAATTAATTTATTGAAATAATCTCACAGAGGAGATTACGTGTAATGTTTCTATCTTGAGTTTGTTATTATGGTAGGAAACCATAACTGTAATTAAATTTAAGCCCAGTTGCAATTATGGTTTCCTCTGATTATGAAAACAAGATAATCAAGAGAAAACCATTATTATACAGTGTTTGAGCTCTTTCTCCGACAGGCTTTGGCAGGCATAGTTCAGCCTGAGTTGTTTCAAATCACTTTGGTTTCGAGGAATCTGGAGAAGAACAACTAATACGAAAATCATGTTTGTTGAGTAATAATTTTATCTGAATTCAGATTTTTCTTTTTTGCTCGGAGGAAATTGCGTCTGACTTCTGTGTGTAGCGATCAGGAGAAATCCTAGACAATAAGAGAACTAGATGGATGTGAGAGAGGACCCAGAGTCTGGAAACGACGTGGTGGCGACTCAGTGATGAACAGAGGGTCTGAAGGGGAAGCGTGCTGGGATTGTTGAAGCTGGATGAGGGGCTCAGTGGTCACCAAATGAGAACAAACAGCCTATAGTGCAGGAAGACATATAATCATAGAACTGGAAGGTCTTATAAATTATCTCCAAAGTATTAAAAAATGTTCAAAAAAGTATTTGAAGTAGAGATGTATGATTGTGCTTGGTCTATTAACTGAATAAAGTCCTCACGTAATTCTTTCCCTATGACATGAACTAGGTGAGTTGGCGTGAAACGACCAGATGCCCTTCTTGGAAATTCAGTTTGATTAAAATATCTTGATAGCTTGACTGATGTTTTTCCAGTGCCTCAACCTTAAACAGTTGTGTCTGAGTCAGTGTGGGCTATTATGTCACTTGGGGGATTTTAGTGTTAGAGTCCTGAAGTGACCTCCCAGCATGCTCTGTTTATAATGACAGATAAACGCTTCACTACATAACACCATCATTTCACTAACCTGGGACCTTGAATGCTGTCTTAAACTAAGCCGCTAGCTAGTTTCACAAAAGACAGCAAAGGAGAATTTCACTTGTTGCTATTTTGACATGCAAGGATGCATTTATTTTGGTGCAGTTCTCCTTACACTGGTTAGGAACCTACTTTCATAACACCAGTTTTAAAGATGAGCTTGTCAAATGACACTGATTATTGCTGCTTTTTATCTTATTCACGCTGAACTGGCCCAATGCTCCTTCACATTTGTACTTTTTTAGCTGTTGTGATCTCACGAGGGATAAAGCTGGCTTAAAGCCTGAAATAGAAGCTAAAATGTTGAGAAACTGACATGTGGTTTGTGCTGTGAAAACATTCTGCATGTATAGTGAGACACCAGTCCTGGAGGGTAAAGATAAAGAAAGTGAGAATGAGAGACAAAGCTGTCACGTGATCTGCCTTTCTTTGACAAAGCTGTCTGTGTTTCTCTATTAAAACAAGTCTTTCTGTTCCTGTAAGGCATCACACATCAACTCACATGCTTATATTTGTATGGGGGGTGGAAGGAAACAAAAATAAAATAATAATAATAATAATATATACATATATATTATTATTATTATTATTATTATATTTTATTTTTTTTAGGGTGCAACGATACACAAAATTCACGGTTCGGTTCGATACTTTGGTGTCACGGTTCGATATTTTTTCGATACAAAAAAATGTTCATGCCTTTTTAATTTGTCATTTATTAAAATTATAAATATATATTTTAGCACAAAAGTACAGTTTTTAAATTTAATGTTGCTGAAACAACAAAGTAATAAAAAAAATCTATCTGATCGAGAAATCTCTCATCTTTGGAAAAGAGAGTTTATTACAGAGAAATGTCTCTTTCCAAAATAAAAGCTATACTATCTGCTTCTTCTGGGTTATATTCTCAGCAGCATATTAAACATATCAGGTCCCCATAAGGAGAATCCTGTGCTAACGGCTGTCTAAATGACTCGGGTAAAGTTTGTAGCATGCGTGCTTGTTGTTTTTGTCTGCTTCCACTTGTCTTTGCACTAGGATGATGTCAGTGTAAAGGTGCAGTCATATTCATTGTGTTCCCACTAGTGCTGTCAGCGTTAATCTGAAATGACGTTAAC